CGGAACTTCCGGATTAGAACCTCTGTTGCCGTGACAACGGCTTCATCTCGAGCAACAGTGTAACAGTCGAGTTCCACAAGTTCCCATTCATACGGGAATCGATGTTTAATGCTAACGGCCTGTGAAGACACGAGCTCTGCAGTTGTTTATCAGTGATTTAAACTTGTTGAAGTCGTTACACGTTTGTATTAGCGCACAGCTCTATATAAAAAGTTGGAGATATACTGTATTATATCCAACTTTATCTGCAGTACTCTCAGCTGTCTGATTGCCTGTGGGGAATTGATTGGATGGTTGTGGTTTGCTATTGGTGGATCTCATGTGAGTGACAGGTTGTTGCCCCGCCCTCATGCCAGTAATGACATCATAAGATAAGAGAAGAGATGGGGGGAATATTGAATCATCATTCTGATTCAATATTACCAGAAACATTTTGTGCACAGATGAATCGTTTAGAATAAATACTGCGATATTCCATGAAAAATACAAGAATTTTCCATTTTGATTTCAAATTTAGAATATTTGTCGAATGTAAAAGAAAACAAAATTCTAATGCAAAAACCATGTGTTCGTATTTTTGGTGTCGAGGCGCGCGAGACATGATGATGACGTTACGTAACTGACGCGGTTTGTTTTTGTTAGCTTATCCTGTATACAGCGCCGTGCGGCTGCGCTGTTCATTCGGAAAATGGCGGGAAAGTCGATAAAACTTTCGGGAAAGTTCGAAAGTCGGGAAACATCGGTCAGAGCTATTATGTTTGCTATTTTGTGTTCATTACGCGTCTGTTGAAGTGTGTTTTCTCAGGTTACTGATGCATTTACACCGTTTTATGCACTATTGTAACCTAAATTTCCTTGCATGCACATTAAGGAAATTATATTTTATTTAAGAACAATTGTTTCAAAAGTTAATGCACTTTAAAAAGTGAATGTTATTTAGTTTAAATAAAAGATCGCGATGCATGATTTGCTTTATATAGAGAGCCTAAGCCCCTCCCTCCGCTTCCGGCTCATGGGACCTTATTTCGGAAAAAATATGTATGGTGGTCAATGGCGTCTGAACTGTGCCCTGAATTACACATATGATGTTTGTCAATTTAAAAGATAATTATGAAAATCAAGAAAGTCGAAGTTTGTCATAAAACAGAAGAGTAACATTTAGTTTTATGTGAAAATCGCTAAATGAACGACATCTCCCGGGAAGCGAAACAACGAGCGAGATCCGCTGCTCGTGTGTGTGCAGTCTGGTACAAAACACTCGATGACGGCGTAACGTTACGATTATAACGCAAGACTATAGAAACAATGACAGACGTTAGCTTCAGTAAAGTTAGCTTCAGTAAAGTTAGCTGTTAGCTTCAGTAAAGTTAGCTGTTAGCTTCAGTAAAGTTAGCTTCAGTAAAGTTAGCTGTTAGCTTCAGTAAAGTTAGCTGTTAGCTTCAGTAAAGTTAGCTGTTAGCTTCAGTAAAGTTAGCCTCTAGCTTCAGTAAAGTTAGCTGTTAGCTTCAGTAAAGTTAGCTGTTAGCTTCAGTAAAGTTAGCTCCAGTAAAGTTAGCTCCAGTAAAGTTAGCTCCAGTAAAGTTAGCTCCAGTAAAGTTAGCTCCAGTAAAGTTAGCTCCAGTAAAGTTAGCTCCAGTAAAGTTAGCTCCAGTAAAGTTAGCTTCAGTAAAGTTAGCATCTTTTAGTAAAGTTAGCTTCAGTAAAGTTAGCATCTTTTAGTAAAGTTAGCTTCAGTAAAGTTAGCATCTTTTAGTAAAGTTAGCTCCAGTAAAGTTAGCTCCAGTAAAGTTAGCTCCAGTAAAGTTAGCTCCAGTAAAGTTAGCTCCAGTAAAGTTAGCTCCAGTAAAGTTAGCTTCAGTAAAGTTAGCTTCACTCATTGAGAGAAAATGTGCGCCTTTGGGGTTTGTAGTCTTTGTAATTACGTATTTTCACAGTCTTATACCTCAACAGTTTTACATCAAACTGCGACTTTCTTGACTTTAAAATGTATCTTTTAAATTGACAAACATCATATGTGTAATTCAGGGCACAATTCAAACGAGATCAAAATATTTGTTGTCTCTCGCCATTGACTACCATACAATATTCTTCCGAAATAAGGTCCCATGGTGAAGGGGAGGGGCTTAGGCTCTCTATTTGCTGTTTGCGCTCGCTTGCGCCCTCTTGTGGCCATAGGAGACAATACAGTACTTCTTTTCCTCTAACATTTAAGTATTACCTTTAGAATCCGAATATAATTTTGAATATTTAAGAAAATTTTAATAAGTATAATATTTAAATATAATATTAAAGAAAGAAATTAAAAATTGAGCCATTTTGACAGCCCTATTGTGCATTTATGCTCGAAATGCATTGGTCCTGTTGTTTTGTTGATGCACTGCTGTATTTCCACAGCACATGCAAGGCTAAAGGTCGTTCCACTAAAGGGCGCTGGGGAAGCATCAGCGCTTCGGTGTGGGGTGTGTTGAGCGTGTGTTTGCTGCTGTTATCAGGGGCTCTGGGAGCTCACAGCTGGGGAACTGCACTGGACTTTGACTTCTCGTGTCTCGCATTCGGTCCGTCCGTGAGGTTACATTTCAGAGGAATAGAAACTGAGCGAAAGTTGTGGAAGGAGGAGAAAGAGAGAGAGAGAAAGAGAGAGAGAGAGTATATAAGAGATATACTAATATAAGAGAGACTTTGAAACCTTGATTCCATCATTCTTTGAACTAAGTGACACTGAAAAAATGTCCTTCTTACTCGGAGAAAATGACAGTACAGCTGAACTAGCGGCTAAATATGTGCTAGCTATTCACAACGCCAGAGACAGCTAATTCTCTAGAGTGACCCACTGTATTTAATCATTTATTAAGATTCATTTACAATCCTACTACATATGACATGATTTATACTTATGTTTTACTTGTTTGTTTTATTATTTATATATAATATGTTGATGCTTTGGCAACATTGTGTTACACAGTCATGCTAATAAAGCAAATTTGAAATTGAAAAAAATTAAAAATTGAGAGAGAGAGCTGCAACGAACTGTAATATATATGAATTCATGTATTATATAGTATAGTAAATACAACACCATATTGCTTTCATTGAGAACATGGGAATTTTATCTTCATGAAATTACATGTTGGGATTTAATGTCTTCATGACATGCTTTGAGTCATGATTTTTAATTTAAAAAAATTGTGAGAAAACATCTGATCACTTTATGAATTGACACTAATCTACAACTTATTTGCCATTTAAACATTTGATCTTAATTTGGAGTAAATGCTCTCTGATCGTTTTGTTTTTATTTCTTTCTCTTTTTTTTTGGTATCCTCTAACAAACTGATGAACGGCATTCAATGATTAAGAATCAGATTTAATAATAAACATATTTTGATGTTGATTTATTTTTCATATTGTTATTTTGGCTAGTTGAGATTTTTAAAATGTGTTTTAAAGAAGTCTCTTCTGTTCACCAAGGCAGCATTTATTTAATCAACAATACAGTATAAACAGTGAAATATTATTACAATTTAAAAAAAAAAATCTATTTGAATATCTAGTGTAATTTATTCCTGTGATCAAAGCTGAATTAGCATCATTACTCCAGTCTTCAGTGTCACATGATCCTTCAGAAATCACTCTAATATGATGATCTGATGCTCAAGAAACATTTATGATTATCGATTAAAATGATATATATTTTATTTCAGGATTCTTTGATGAATAGAAAGTTCAAAAGAACAGTATTTATTTGAAATAGAAATCTTTTGCGACATTAAACGTGTGAGTTTTAAACAATTTAAAGCAGCAAAGTCAGTGGGTTCAGTTCTAGGGCTCCACGTGGCTCTCAGTCTCCACCCCCGTCTCTCTCTCTGTGTGTGTGTGTGTGTGTGTGTGTGTGTGTTCAGTGTGGTGGGCGTTCCACATTCCTGTGCACTCGTTTCACAAGGCCGAACTCTCTCTCTCTCTCTCACTCTGTTTCTCGTTCTCTGCTCTCCTGTGTGTGAGAGAGAGTGTGAGGCCCACGTCGGCCCAGGCCGTGTGTGAATGTGCTGCCCAGTTTAGTGTGTCCGAGTCAGGCTGAGTTTAAACTTCAGCCCCAGGATGAGCCGGGCCTAGAAGAGCTCAACCTCTCCGTCCGAGGGGAGGAAGGTAGGGAATGTGCTGTCTCATGCGTGGGGGTGTGTGTGTGTGTGTGTGGGGGTGTTTGTCTCGTTGAACTGGTAAGCCGATATATAATTCATTGCGATAGAGAAGTTGGACAAACAGACTGCTTTGAGTTTGTACGAGTTTTAAGAGGCCGTGTTAAAGTTTTCCAGGCTCTTGTGCATTCTCTTCTTTATAAGGTGCTCCACTGTGTGTGTGTGTGTGTGTGCCAGAGACATTCGTTGCATATTTTGTCTCTTGCAGCACTGATAAATGCTTCTTGGATTAAATCACTCGCTGTTGTTGTTGTTGTTATTTCCCTGTTGTTCGTATCGTCTTCCTCACTTCTCCATGTGGTGCATGTTAAGTTGTGTCATGTTCTCATAGTTTGTTACGTGTTTTAAATGCTTCTCTCTAGATCAGGATCAGAGACCCTAATCAGGGAGGACGTGACATCACAGAAGAGATCATGTCAGGAGGTCGCAGTGGCTTGACACCGACGCCTCCACAGGTAACACACACACACACACCCGAACGCACGAAACTTTACACACCCTCATGCTGATTCAAATGACTTACAGCACCAAATTGCTTTGACTCATTTGCATCAATACTGATGTGAATTTCATTTAACTACATGAAATTATATGCTGGGATACTGTCATCATTGTCAACAGCTTATTATTTTATGAATTGACAGCATGTCTGATAATCTACAACATTAAACATTTATTTTGGAGTGATCTGAACCCTCTGGTGCTTGTGTGGCGCTCAAAAATGACTGAAATTAACCCTTTGGGTCTCCTCGCGTGCCGGTCAAAAATAACCCTTTTTTTAATTATTTCAATTAAATGAATGTACTATATTTTAATTTGATAAAGTTTTTTCTTTAATAATTTTGTGTTTTTAGGGTATTTTATGCTACCAAATTATAGTTATGGAATAGTTATGATCCAAAAACCTGTTAACCACTTTTTGAGCATAGACTTGAAAATGAAATTTCCAACTTAAACTTTCGTAAATCTCGACTTAAGTTTGGTCTCTTTTAAAAGACAACACTTGGCCGATTTATTGCTGAAGTAAAAAATAAAATAAATGATGTTTAAATGTATTATTATGAAAAATGCATTTAAAATGCTTTTTAAACATTTTTTTTTTAGGGCTGGGCAACGATTAATCGCATCCAAAATAAAAGTTTGTGTGTACATAATATATATGTGTATACTGTGTATAATTATTTTGTATATATAAAAACACACATGCATGTATATATTTAAGAAAAATGTGTTATTAATATATCAAATATTTATATTTATATATAATATTAATTATGTATAAATATACATAATGTATATACATGCAAATATTTCTTAAATATATACATGCATGTGTGTGTTTTTTATATATACAAAATAATTATACACACAACACACACATATATTATGTAAACACAAACTTTTATTTTGGATGCGATTAATCGCGATTAATCGTTGCCCAGCCCTAATTTTTTATATGAAATATATATATTTTCCAAAACATGTTTTGCTCTAAAACTATGATAAAACCGAAGCCATAACTCTAAACAAGCTGTGTTACAAATTTGAGGTTGATATCTCAACAAAAAAAATTAATTGGGCGCAGTACCAAACGCTTCCACTAGGTAATAGTATTTGCTTCCCATTCGTTTCAAACGCGCTCATTTTGGACCACCAAAACAAGTGTTAATTCTTTTTTTTTCAGGACCGTTTAACCTTTTCGAATCATGTCAATGATTTTTTTGTGTGTGTGTGTGTTTGTGTGTGTGTTCACACATCAAGTGCCAAAATCTTTACCAAATTTCGTACCATTCTGATGAAGTGAAAAATGTGTTAAAAAAAAACAGCACCAGAGGGTTAACAAAATAAATGCTATTTTATAAGAGAAAGAATTGTTTTTTCTATTTTGTTTTATTTAATGGTATCCTCAAACAGTGATTAGCTGTCGTAAAGCTCAACGCCATTTAATTATTCAGAATCATATTTAATCATAAATATATTCGAAGCTGTGACTAATAATCTGATGATTTGTGATATTTCGTACAAATAATATATAATGAATTTTAATTTTTTGCATGAACTATTTCTTTAAGCCCAACGGTGACAACGCCACATCTCCGGTCGTCGTGACAACCAGGGAGGAGTTTCCCCTCCCTCCAGGTGAAAGCCCGTTCCCCGACACCCCACAGACTCCGCCCCCTACCAGCCCAATTAGCGACACGGTAGATGCTCCGCCCCTAGCGCCTGCAGACGACGCCCATGTGACGCCCACTGTGGTGGATCCGCCCCCTTTTAATAGTGCAGAAGCCACACCCACTAAGAGCAAAGAGGAGGGGCCTGTGACTGTACCGATGCCTGTCCCCGCCCCCCAGGCGGAGCCTGTGCTTGAATCTCCGATAGTGCAACCGGAAGAGCTCCAGCTGTTCAACGGAGTCCCGGCAAGAGACATCAGCCCTATTGCTGAGCCGGACATGACTAAAGAAGCACCAACAATTACCATGGAAATTCCTGATAGGACTGTTCCTCTTCAGGTTGTCAAGGAGACCCCCGTTGTGGGTGTTAAGGAAGTGCCAGCCCCTGTTGTTAAGGTGCCAGCTCCTGTTGTTAAGGTGCCAGCTCCTGTTGTTAAGGAGCCTACTCCTCCATTTTTCAAGGAGCCTACTCCTCCATTTTTCAAGGAGCATATTCCTCCAATTGTCAAGGAGCATATTCCTCCGGTTGTCAAGGAGCATATTCCTCCAATTGTCAAGGAGCATATTCCTCCGGTTGTCAAGGAGCATATTCCTCCGGTTGTCAAGGAGCATATTCCTCCGGTTGTCAAGGAGCATATTCCTCCGGCTGTCAAGGAGCATATCCCTCCGGTTGTCAAGGAGCATATTCCTCCGGTTGTCAAGGAGATCCCTGTTCCCATCAAGGAGACCGTCGCTCCTGTCGTCAAGGAGATCGCCGCTCCTGTCGTCAAGGAGACAGCCGCTCCTGTTGTAAAGGAGACCCCTGCTCTTGTTGTCAAGGCAACCGTTCCTGTAGTTGCCAAGGAAGCTCCTACAGCGGTTGATTCGGAAGCCCTTACACAGGAGACTGTTGTCAAGGAAATGCCTGATGTCAAGGAGATACCTACTAAACAAGTCCTGGAAACTCCACTTGTCGTCAAGGAAACCCCTTCACTCGTTGCCAAGGAAACCCCCGAACCACTTTTGAGGGAAGCCACCGCCCCTTCAGAGGTTGTTGCGAGCGTTTCTAAAGCCACGCCCCCTCCGACAGAAGAGCGAGAGGACACGCCCTCTACACAGACCACGCCCCCTGAGAGTACTTTACAAGGTGTGTAAGGCAATTCGTAACACTGTTATTTTAGTATTTATTTCAGTTTTCAATGGGTTTAGTTTACAACAATACTACATAGTGCAAGTGTTGACATGAGGGGAGATATAGTAGGCATTAGCATAAACCCCTGCCGTCAGTCATGCTGAGCATGTAGAGAATGAAGCTGAGCAAGTTAATGTCAACATGTTGATATCCAACTACCTAAAGAATAACACACCTGGTTTAATGACATTTGAAGGAAACTCTAGCGCCTCCTTGAGTACGGAGGTTTGATACCATCTAGACCTGCACTATTCTTTCATGATTATGGTTTGAATGAATGATTCAATAGCTCACTAAAATAAAAATTTCACTAGTTTCATTACTGGATGAATCAGCGTTTTTACAGAATCTCTTGAATGAATGATTCAATGACTCACTCATAAAGTCTTCACTAGTTTCATTACTGGATGAATCAGCGTTTTTGAACGAATATCTTGAATGAATGATTCAATGACTCACTAAAATAAAGATTTCACTAGTTTCATTACTGGATGAATCAGCGTTTTTACAGAATCTCTTGAATCAATGATACAAAGTTTTAATCGAGATCACGTTTTTTTAACGATTAATCGTGCCGCTCTAATACTTTCAATTGCAACAAAAACACGCGTTAAGTGAATGATTCAATAACTGACTAAAATAAAAATTTCACTTGTTTCATTACTGGATGAATCATCATTTTTGACAGAATCTCTTGAATCAATGATTCAAAGTTTGAATCGAGATCACGATTTTTTTGCGTTTAATCGTGCCGCTCTAATACCTTCATTAGTAACAAAAAGCATACGTTAAGTGAATGATTCAATGACTCGCTCATAGAGATTTCACTTGTTTCATTACTGGATAAATCAGCATTTTTGAACAAATCTCTTGAATGAATGATTCAATGACTCACTCATAAAGTCTTCACTTGTTTCATTACTGGATGAATCATCGTTTTTGAACGAATCTCTTGAATGAATGATTCAGTGACTCACTCATAAAGTCTTCACTTGTTTCATTAATGAATAAATCAGCATTTTTGAACAAATCTCTTGAATGAATGATTCAATTACTCACTAAAATGAAGATTTCACTTGTTTCATTACTGGATGAATCAGCGTTTTTGACAGAATCTCTTGAATCAATGATTCAAAGTTTGAATCGAGATCACAACCTTTTAACAATTAAACGTGCAGCTCTAATACCTTCATTAGTAACAAAAAGCACACGTTAAGTGAATGATTCAATGACTCGCTCATAGAGATTTCACTTGTTTCATTACTGGATAAATCTGCATTTTTGACAGAATCTCTTGAATCAATGATACAAAGTTTGAATCGAGATCACGATCTTTTAACGATTAATCGTGCCGCTCTAATACCTTCATTAGTAACAAAAAGCACACGTTAAGTGAATGATTCAATGACTCACTCAAAGTCTTCACTTGTTTTATTACTGGATTAAACACCATTTTTGAACGAATCTCTTGAATGAATGATTCAATGACTCACTCATAAAGTCTTCACTTGTTTCATTACTGTATGAATCATCGTGGTTACACTTTTTTTTATGGTCCCTTTTGAATATTTTGTTGACTAAGTAACGTTGGACCAATGTGTCAACTAAGTCTCATTAAAGTATTAGTAGACTGTCTGCTTAATATCTGCTAACTCTTTATATTGATAGTCCTCCAACAGACGTTCTGTTGACTATAAGTTACTTTGCAAGTACATGTCAACTTATTCTAACCCTACCTGTCTACTAATACTCTACTAACACTCTAATGAGAGGTAAAATGTTACTTATAGTCAACAAAATGTGTTAAAGGGACCATCAAAATAAAGTGAACCATCATCGTTTTTAAACAAATCTTTTAATTATATGATTCAAAGTTTGAGTCGAGATCGCGATCTTTTAACGATGAATTGTGCAGCTCTTATGCCTTTAATAGTAATGCAAGAACATACGTTAAGTGCTATATGCTAAATGAGGCCGCGTACGTTGACCACGCATTAGCGTTTGTGCACTTGCATTGAGTATATCTCTGGCCTGAAGCTTTTCCACGCTCCTCTGCTGGAGTTTGATGCAGCCACACTGTTTAGTCAATAGTGCATATGTCTTCATACTCGGTGTGTGTTTATGTATTTGCAGTGGTTTCTGTGCCAAAGAAGAAGAGAAAAATGAAAGACCTGAACAAAAAGGAGGCGGGAGATCTTCTTGATGCCTTCAAAGAGGTGTGTAGAAGAGCCCAGAAACAACGACTTCTTTGTGTTCATTCAATAACAATAGCTCAGTCCAAGGCCTGTTCATTATGTGCGTTTGGCAGATGCTTTTATCACATCATGAGTGACGTGAATTCTTTTTTTACCATTTACAGGCTTTAATGCAAATAAAACCGTTTTGAAAATGCAGATTTCACTCGCAGTGCAAAATTCAACCTGTCATTAAAATGTTATTTGTTTTCTAGTGATGAATTCTGAGTGATAAAGTGATGGGATAATGATGATAATTGTTTAGGTCCCACCCACTTTATATTAAGTGGCTTTAAGTACTTGCATCGAAAAATAAGTACAATGGGACAGGTGTGTGTGTGGTATGGGTTGGGTTAAGGTGTAAGGGAAGGGTCAACAGTGTAATTATACATGTAATTATAAATTAATTACAGCTGTAATAATAACATACAGGTATTTTTAAAATGTAAGTACAATTTATAGACATGCAAGTACACGATTCGTTCTGTCGTACACAAGACCATTGTATCAAATTATTAATTTCAGTGTTAGCACATAGTAGTTAAAGCCACTTACCGTAATTCCTCAAATAAAGACCGGTATTCAAATAAACGCCGGGCCTCTGATAGTGGCCGGGGGCGTGGTCAACGTGGACAAATAAAGGCTGGTCTCAAATTAAGGCCGGGGAAAAAATAGTGTGAATAGGTACACTTTAAATGAGTGTACACTCAAAGACAGACGCGCTCAGCGCTTGTCATATATCACAACTATTCAGTGTTTTTAACCACATGTTTATTTTAGGTTTCAGACATTTAAATAGATATGATTTATAGCAAAACAATAAATTTATAGTTTGTAAAATACACAATGGTGTCTATGGAAGCAGCAATAACAATCCATTCAAATATATTTGGCGACGTGTTTTATTCATATCAGATACACAGTGTGTAAGTAACTATAAAGTTTACTCTATTCTTCTCCCAGTTCACCGGCCACTTACTTTCATGTATTTCGGGAGAAACTGAAGAATTCACGCGCTGTAACTTAACAAATCCAACAGACAGGAATCTCTGAACTGCGGTGCCCATCTCACGTTACAGATCAAGATAATTTATAAAGGGTTTTAAACGACAAAACAAACTCACTTACACGGATTTGAGAGTCAGAATAGAAGATAGTTGATGACATGGTAAGCAAGTTTGTTAATATTTAGAAATAAAAGCGCTACATCTGTCATATAGCGCTATTTTGGCTGTGGTGAACACGTGCCAAGCATGACGCGTCACCATGGAAACTAGGGCTGTTGGAACGAATTCCGAAATTCGAATATAATTCGAATATTAAAAAAATCAATACTATTCGAATGCTGAAGTTACTATTCGAATATTGTTTTTTTTATGTATATTTTTTTTTAAGTTTTATACCGTAAAACTTCAAATAATAGCCGAGTCCCAAATAGACGCCGTCTCTTTTACGCCTGGTGTGGCTGCAGGTTTGGGTAAATAAAGGCCGGTCTCAAATAGAGGCCGGGTCTGTTTTTTAGTTTCAGGTTGTATTTAATCCTCTAAAACCCGTGCGATCGTCTGCTTTTTGGCGGTCGCCAACGCAAATGTTTGTCCCGCGAAAGCCTTTTTTGATGGATGTAGACTAGAATGACTGCTGCGCCTGACAGGGCGCATAACGAGCAGAGAGAGAGAGAGTCTTCACGTCTTCAAACATGAGCGCTGTCTTGGCCTCTCTCCCTCGCGCATATTAATCAAAATCAATTGACACGATACTAGTAAAAGGTCGGAAGTTTCACGTGGAGCATTTGGATATTTTTAGAGATTAGAGACTCTAGGCCTCAATGAACAACATCTCAACACTAAATTATAAAGGCCTGTCTCATATAGACGCCTGTCTCAAATACAAGCCGGTGCAGTTCGACGATTTGGGAAAATAAAAGCCCGGGCTACTATTTGAAGTTTTACGGTATGCAATCTTGCCTTTCTCGCCACCTTGGCTTACACACATGTGAAAATGAAATGCTTTTGTTCCGTCTGATGAGCAATAAAGTTTTTGAATCGTAACACAATTGTGCACGTTATCCACGCTGTATCATCATAACAATACTGTCAAAAATGGTAAATGTTCAACAACGTAAAAAAGCGCCCGTGAAGCGCAAATATCTCGGTGAAAACTCAACGGATTTGGCGAGCACCAAACTCGTTGGAACCGCCTAGTCGAACTGAAAAGAACGATATAAGTTTCAGAATTTTTGGTGGTGTTTTAGCGGCGATATTAGCCGAAAACCATCGGTAGCGCTTCAACCATATTCAGCACGAATAAAATGTTTATTGTAATGTTAGATATCCCTCTAGTGGACAGAACGTGTAACAACAACCACATGCTATAGTGGCATTGGCGATCCATAAGCCTGAGTAATGTCGTAAATATTAATAATAGGATGAATTTGAGCATTTAATATTCGAATATTATTTGAATATTAAATAAAATAAGGAAGGGAATTCGAATAGTATTATAGAGGAAGATTGACAGCCCTAATGGAAACTTGGCTGGCGGGCGGGCGGGGATCGCGAATTAGAAATAAAGGCCTGCCTCTAATAAAAGCCGGCTACCATCTGCAGTTCAGGTAAATAAAGGCCCCGGCCTTTATTTGAGGAATTACGGTAATATAAAGTGGGACCATGTTGTTATTTTGAGCTTGTATCTAATTGGACGATATTGACCGTTAAACGTTTCCTGTTGTCTT